ACCTCCCTCCATCGCGCCAGGCGTATTACTGATCGGGCAACGAGACAAGCCTTCTATTGGCTGCTAAGGGGGAGAGCCGGGGCAAGGCGTTATAGGGACGGCGGTTTGCGCTTTAGCCTGTGGAGGAGAGCGCCATGAAGCAGTGGCTGTGACGTAACGGCGCTGTTATGTCAGGCGTTTATTTTCAAAAGCCGCGAATACGCCAGGCTGTGTTTAATACAAGCACGCAACAGTTTGGCTATTTGCCCACGGCTGTTGCTTCGGTGGCTTGATGTTAGTTGGCTGATTGATTCATATCCAGGAAAGGAAATGACACCTATGGTTTAGGCACTTAATCACACAGGCTAATATGCCCTCTAGCGTGATTACGAGCGGAAAGGAATAGATATTGAATTGTGGGCATGGGCTATGTAGGGGTCTATACTGCGTCCCCCATTTGCAAACTATGACACTTTCCTCAAGTTTGTCATGTTCATACGTAACTAGAAGAGTTCTACTACAATGCACCAAAACCTGAACTTATTTGGAGTTATTTTACCAACAAATATAATTGATTTTACCATCCGGTCTAAGATACCCCAAGAGCTGGGGTAACAAAGAGTAAGACCATCACTTTTCTGAAATTACATAAAGAGTATGAGAGGCAGGAGCCAGCAATTTATGGTGAGTGCAGCTAGAGTATAGACCTGTATTTTGCATGTTTCAATTCAAGTTTAATTTAGCTAGTAAAAAAATGGCATCATTTATAAAGAAAATGGTCTAAGTTACCCCATTTTACGGTATGCCTCGTTCAGCCGCTTCAGAGGCATGCGCCGGCAATGCCCGAGACACGGCCGAGAGGGACAACGATGTGTTGATTTCTGGGGACGCAGTATAGACCCCTACATAGCCCATGCCCACAATTCAATATCTATTCCTTTCCGCGATGCCATTTTTTTACTAGCTAAATTAAACTTGAATTGAAACATGCAAAATACAGGTCTATACTCTAGCTGCACTCACCATAAATTGCTGGCTCCTGCCTCTCATACTCTTTATGTAATTTCAGAAAAGTGATGGTCTTACTCTTTGTTACCCCAGCTCTTGGGGTATCTTAGACCGGATGGTAAAATCAATTATATTTGTTGGTAAAATAACTCCAAATAAGTTCAGGTTTTGGTGCATTGTAGTAGAACTCTTCTAGTTACGTATGAACATGACAAACTTGAGGAAAGTGTCATAGTTTGCAAATGGGGGTGCCGCCCCTGGGCCCTGGTGCCCCATAAATCATGATAATGGGAATGTGACTACCTAATCGCTAATGGCAGCCCTGACAGGGTAAATATTGACTGGCTTGGAAATTAAGTTAAAATTACCATATAGCCTATAAGACTCTGTAGAGTCTGAAACATAAAGAAAAAACATAAGATAAATAGGCTGTCAAACATAAAATATGTTATACAAGGAATTTTTGTATTAACGTCCAAGCCAGTCTATGATAATGTTACCCCTTCAGGGCTGACATTAGGTGGTCTAAGTTCCCCCATTTGGGGGCAGTGCCCCCCATTTGCAAACTATGACACTAAGACACTTTCCTAAAATTTGTTATTTGCATATGTAACTAGAAGAGTTCTACTACAGCGTACAATGCATCAAAACCTGGAGTTATTTAACCGAAAAATGAAAAAATTGGAAGGGGTACCTACTCTGACAGGTTTTAAATATTTTTTTCGTGGGTCACATTTTTAATTTTTTAACATATCAGATGTGCAAACTTTTTAAATCTTTCTAGTTTCTATTATGTTATGTAGCCTCAGTATTAGGCCTTTAATGCCCATTGACAAAATTTTTCTATGTCAACTAGCCTCTAGGTAGTTTTTGAGTTTTGGGGGTTTTTGTTAAAAAAACGAAAAGTGGTCTAAGTTACCCCGCCGGTCTAACTCTAAGTTACCCCATTTTACGGTACACGAGGCTAGTAGCGTGGACAGTTCAAGCGGCGGATGAACTAGCAGCTAGTACTAGTGACCATAGTGGCAAACCAGAGCTTTTTAGAATCAGTTCATTTAGTTTCCTCATTGACTCGAGATTTAAACCAATTTCTTAAGTATGATAATGCTGGTATCCAGGATACTTTACTGGATACTGGTCTACTTATGGGATTCAAAATGAACTTGAGGGAGGGTCTAAAAAACTCTCTGCTTTAATGTACTATCCCTGTGTACAGGCACCTATTGGTTGTCTGCTTAGTTTTCATTTGTGCGCCAAGACTCCTATTGGTGTTGCGTGGCGCAAAATTCGGCTGCTACAATCACAGTTCAACCTGACCTGCCCTGCCCCTGTACCCATTTATTGAAAATTGACATTTATTGAGCAATTATCTTGCCAAGGTAAATTTATTCTGCCGTAACTTTCAGGCTGTGTCAGAGAGTGCCGAGTGGTGACCTACAGGCTACAAGCCCCTGGCCCCTGCAGATCTGAGCAGGGTTATTGTTGGAAGCTGGGCTGGAGCTGGCTGCTGGGGACTATAATTGTCCTTTCACTAGGGAAGAGCTGTGTCAAGCTGTAACTTGTAAGGTGCATGCGGTTGACTACACCAGGCAAGGATGAAGTACATAATAGCTTCTTAAAGGCCCTCACTGATGTGATGAACATTATGATGTTGTCCTTCCAAAACTGACCAAAATTCATTGTAATACCAATTAATATTTTACAGATTCAGCAGAAATATTCTCATTGCCAATATTTTGTAAGCCAATCATGAATCATGGTTTTACTTTTCTGTGGATTTAATAATTCTAATACATGTTTAAATGAGAAATTTGCAATGCCAATTCTTTGCCAGCCTTTGCCTGCAACAATTCCTGCTCGTCAGGTAATTATTCAGGATAATTTTTATTTTCTTAATCAGATGAAAATACAAAAATCATTACCTAGCTTGTTTTTTACATGTGAGCGAATTTAAAATTCATTCCTGCTTTCTCAGTTTTGGAATAGATTTAGAATGTTTTTCACTTTATCAGATTAAGAAAAGCAAAGCGTTGATCTCGACGCTGTTTTAACAATAGTAACTTAGTTTTATTTCATGTGAATAAATGACAAATCATTGGTTGTTAGGCTCAATTCATCAGTGGATGATGGCAGGGAATTTGATTCACTTATTTCACTACATACCTTCATTTATTAAAAGTCAATACCTGGAATGATAATATCTTGAAGCTGATATAATTCTGTTTGTGTTGTTATGTGTGTGTATGCATACCTATATTGATCTGCTCATGTACCTACTTGGGCTCATACAATACTCATGGTAATATTGCAGATCTTGTTATATTGATTTTAATATTATTTATTATTGATAATAATTGTCAAAAAAAACCAATAACATAAAAATCTCAAAGTTAATATATTTAATATGGCAGTTTAATGCTTCCTATGTAGACATAAATTTATGCTAAAAAAATCCAATGAACATCTTAAACACTGTGCTTTTATTACTCTGCCATCAGTTTATTTAAATAGATTTCATTGACATGAAAACCACTTTCATGTTGGTATCAAGGGTTACTTGGTGTTGGTGAAGATAATAACAGCTGTAAAGACTTGCTCAATTTAATTACATTAAAAGATAATGCATTGTAGGAGCCATGCAGCTGTAGGCAAAGATGTGCAAGTTATTATACTGAAAATATTTCTGAAGCCACTTTTCAGTCATGCTGACAATAAGAATGTTAGACTATATTTTTACTGTTCAAATCAGTGTGCCCTTAAGTGAAGTGATAATTATTTAATTTTTGAGCATTTATATAGGTATATAACCTTTTTCCATGGAGCACTTTTGCTTGAAAAGATTTTACCTTCACCTCTTTCCCATTATTATGTATCACTTATTGAATTTCTTCAATCCATAATTTCACAATTATCATTTTCCAGTTACCATGTGGCCATGAAGGATCATTAGATTCTTGTAGAAATGAAGCCACGCAAGAAGTTGAAGACATATTATTTACCAAAGAGAAGATCATATGGCTGTCTGGTATGTCCAAATAGCATAAATAATTCCTCTTACTTTTATAAAGTCCTTTGATTAATTTATTTTGACATGTAACTTTTCTTGAATTTAAAAACAAAAGTAATTTGATTTTGAAGTTTTTGATTTTCCTTTAACCAAATTGTAATTATTATGAATCAACTCCATTCATATTTTTTATGTGAAGTACAAATATATTTTTTATATTTAGGTTCAGCCTGGATGATGTTGAACCCTAGCCTTCAGGAAGAATGCTACTTGAAACAAAGTCTGGAGGTATGTTTGTCAGTCCTAATCAATTCAAGGCTATGCCATAAGTTTTACCACCTTCATTATTCAAGTTTTTTTTGTCATGTTGGTGTGTGTGTATTGGCCTTTTTACTATATAATCTTATGTGCTAGTTTATTCTTATATAGGTTTTTTTTTCTACTCATTGATAATTATCTATAGTTATATATTATTGATGATATTTTCATAAAAATTGACACTATTTAGTTGACATGTCAAAAAATTTATTGTTTTCTGGAATATTTTTACCTTCTAAATATGTATCTATATTTTTAGATCACTTCATCTTCTGATACACTTGGGGTTATAACCAAAAACAATGGAATATCACTAGTGCAAGCTGGCATATGGCAAGAGTTGACCCTGAGCTTCTCATCTCAGACACGGAATCATAATTTTAATTCTGAATGTTCTACTGTTAAACAACATCCTTTGAATGCAGCAAAACAAAAGTCACTTCCACAATCTGTTGCTATATATAAAAGTAGATCCAACATGCTACAAGATACTACATTGACTCTTAATGATAGCTTTGCCAGTGATGGCGCATATGGACTGGGGTGTGATAGCTCACCTCAGCAAAATGATGAAACTGATGGACTGGAAACTAAGAACCTGAAACCCACATTCAAGAACCTCAAGTTACTTGAGAACCGTATTATTCTTCTCGATGTTGGTATGCTTTCTAAATTATTTGCAAAATGTCATAGTTCATTCTATCAAAATTCTTCTCTATCACGTTATTCTGGTTTTAATGTTTATCACAATCACCATAATGAACATCATATAATATTCTTTTTGTAAATTGTTGTAATTACTGACTGATGTGGGGGTTTCAGCCCTTCATCAATGGTTCTAAAATGACAGCCTTCTTCTTGTTAAGATTTTCAGATATAGCAGCAAGTTTTATTCATCAGATGGTGACACATGGGAAGGAAATGTAACCAACACCAGTTTGTGTACCGTGACTCCATTGCTGCTGCGCCATGCAGTGGCCGAGGTAGCGGTTGGTGCACAGCACTGCATCCTCCGCACTGCACATGGCGAGATCTTCACATATGGATGCGGCATGTGAGATTCGTCTGATACAATATTTTTAGGAGAATTTCCATTATCTTACACAATAAATGGTTTCATGAATATATCAGAAATTTTGACAGCGTGATCCTGTAAATTGATAAGACCTCCTCAAAGGGGATTGTTTGGTGGACTACTTTGTATGGTCCAGTCAATCAGTACTACGATCACGCCAGTCTTAAGTCTTGTCTTTATTATATTGATACATAAATGCCAGTTATATTTTTAGTAGTTATTGAACAAGTTCGGCACATCATGCATGATTACACAAGATGTTTGTTTATCCATCCTCAAATATGAATTATTTCTAACTTCATCCATGTATGTAGCGACCTTTGATGGTGACTCAGCAAGTTAATTGTCTTGGTTGTCAACAAATAAACGTGATTGTCTGTGGCAATCGGCTAATTACTTCTGTTATTTTTTTACACCCTCTTTTCCTGGTGTATATCAAGACTGTGGTTTTATGCTTGGGGCTTAAAATTGGCTTTATGATACAAACCAGTACATGAGGTTGGTAAAGGATGGAATACCCTAAATTAATGAATAACTCTTTAAATGTTTAGCGCATTTTGGTATTTTTACAGTACTTGAGAGTTATCCCTTTGATGCAGGAAAGGAGAACTGGGTGCTGGAGACCTCAAATACTGCGACTCGCCGCGCCCTGTTACGCTGCTCGAAGGCATCCACATCAAGAAAGTCGCGGCCGGAGCGTGGCATTGTCTAGGTGAGATTCACTGCAACATTGAAAAGACAGTATATTCACAGCACATTGGTGTGCTTCAGCTGAATTTTTTTAGATTTTTCTTCTCCATTCAAACTGGCATAAATAGACGCAATTTATTAATTGATTCAATCTTGGCAAATTTTTTCTGCAATTCAGAAAATATATTAGACCTCAAGGCCTTAATTTGCAGAAAGTATATGATAACTTATGAATGTATTTTTGGTCCTAAATTAAGCAATGTAAATCATTTTAACATTATTCCATATCCATTTGTAAAACAATGCAGCTTTTTGTTGTGATTCAAAATTTCATATTTCTAGGATTAATTTTGATGATTGATAACTCGTGATACCTTGTCCAATTTTCAAAACAAATATATTGTTTTCAGCGCTTGGCGTGTTAGGCGAAGTGTTCGTATGGGGCTGGAATGTGCACGGCCAGTTGGGCCTGCCATGCAAGCCGGGCGCCACCGCAGCCTCAATGTTTGGATGTGACCCTATGTCTCGGTTCAGCCCATGCGGCTGTACAAGTTCATTAACTCCCACATACTCCATGTTGTCACCACCTACTTCCTGTGTTGCGACATCACCTGAATCTCAGAGTGAACTCCCTGGAAACTGTGCAGTGACAGATAAATGTCCTTTTAACGATCAAAGTCCCGAGAATTATGGTGATATAAAAACGCCTGCAAGTTATGACAGTGCCGCTCCGAGCATCAATTCTTCTCTTCTATGTAAAAAATTAGCACCCAAGAAAGTCGACTGCATAAACGTTCAGAGCTGGCCAGTAATGCTCGAAGCGTTTGGGGATAAAGATGTGCTGGATATCGCAGCAGGTGATCGACACTCTTTATTTCTGCTAGGTTTGTTCAACACTAGTCTCTGTCATATTGAAAAATCAATGATTTTAATTGTTTAACACACACTATAACAGGTTGCGACGCATGTGCCAATTTCATAGTGGCAAATACTTGGAATTTCCTTGCTTCCTTGTTTGGTCGTCGCTCTGGAGCAGATATGCATGGTCAAATTGCCTGCTATGAGATTGTGTACTTATAGAGTTTAACTTGAGTCTTATGAGACTGATGAAAACAAATTAAGCGTCTTAGAGCCAACTTGTGTATTTCTTGCAATACTGAATTTGTTATTATTACTTTATTAGCCATTCTGTTGTAATTATCTTTATTAACTTGAGATATTTTATAGTTATTTATACTACTTGCTGTTCAATTTTTTTTAAACAATATCAATTATAATACTCGTGTATTATAATACTAATTCCTACCAATTATAATGCTCGTGTACTAAAGTACTTTTAAATTTGCAATGTTTCAGAAGACGGTCGTGTGTGGAGCTGCGGTTGGAACAAGTGCGTGTTCCAGTATAATAATACTATTAGTAATTTATAATCGTAATCTCCCGTTGCGCAGTATTGTCAATTATTCTTTTAGTTACCTCATCCATTGTATTTTCGAATGAAGTCGCATTTATTGAAGTTAGCGATGAACCATATTATTCTCAGTTAGATTGGCCTTGCTTGAGTCAGCTGCTATCAAGATAATTACATTGAGGAAGAATTTGATGCGTATAAAATATATCCGTAACACTTTCGTTCTGTTCAGGTACGGGCAGTGCGGAGTGTGCTGGCGAGAGGGCGAGGTGAGAGCTCTTGCTCCTATTCCCGGATTGTCTGGAGTTCGTAAGCTATGGGCGGGATTTTGGTGCTCCGCCTTCTCTACTTCATTACCAACCCATCCAAAAAACTGAATTCTTTATATTAATAAAAAGCCAATCTATACCCGTTTGATTTTCAACCGAGAATCTATCGCTTGCAATTCTTTGTTAGTGGACAGAGATTTCTATCTTGTGTTTAGGTGATTGATGGCTGGGTAGTAAATAAATTTCATGATGAATGGGTCTCTCCAGTTGTGTATACGAACGTATCTTGTGTCGTATCATTAACAGTTATGTCAATCTATATTTGCCGCCCTCTTCGCTGTATATTCAGCCTACTTAAGTATTTATATTGCTTGAATGGTGCCAAATTTTTAATAGTCGCAAGCAGCTTGTGTCATTTATTTGTCTGCTCATCTTTTAGTATCGGCTTTGTGAATTTCGGTTGTGTCAGTTGGTTTTAATCGATGTTCTTGGCTCTACTGACGTTTGAGCAGATATCCAAACGATTCCTACAAGAACGTGTGCCATTTTATTTTTTTTTTTCAAATTCTTGTTTTGCACATTTATTGAGCCTCTTGTGCTGATTATCTTGTGCCAGTCTTATCACTCCGAACTTTATTGGGGACTCCTATTTTACAAAAGTTTTAATAATTTGCGAGTTTTCTCGACGCCATTTCTAAGAAATGATGATGACTTCTTTAAAGTGATTTACAGAATGACCTCATCCATCCAGCTTGTCACCCCCGGAGAGCACAAAATGGACTAAGTCCACTCCACACAAAGCATTTTCGGGTGCTTATAGATTGGTACCGCCTTTTGATGGACGGCTTTGTGAAGTTTCCATTCAGACAGTTCTTGGAAGAGAAGTTGCAATATTCTTGATGACAAAATGCTGTTATATATTAGTAAGATTACCACCAAGTGCTGCTCTCACTGTTAGTGTATCGACGTCGAGGTTCAGCAAGGTAAGCCTTGGGTCTTCTAGCACTGCCGAAAAGCTTAACGCGGCGATATTAGTCCAGAGTCATGTGCTTATTTCACCGCGCGACGCAGCGCATGTACGCTTGACGCAGCTTTTGCCTGTACGTGTTGAGTGTGGCCACTCTGGCAGAAATACGTACATATAAGATCACAGCATCTCCGAGCGTCGGCCTGCGTACGCGTCCATGCTTTTAGTCTGGCCGTAGCTTTAGTCTTTACTACACTAAAGTTTCTCGTCATCGCAAGAGCGAAGGCCTTTGAAGCGTAGTAATTACATCTATAGCGCCTTATCACACCGCTCAAGCATGGTCGTAACCGCATAGCATATCTGGCCCTAACCTACGCACGGTGCCCTAACTCCACCTTCTTACTGTCGATGACCGACTTAACCTGCACACTAGCCTGCCTTACGCCGTAATCCTAGAGAAAGTGGATCTGCTCTACACCACATTAAAAAATTAGGCAAGAGTTAGTTGCCTGATAATACTGAAACTATAAAATCAAGCTCTATGCAATTCAAGGATTCGACCAATTCAGGCTACCCACTCACCCAGTAACATAACATAGTGATGTCGACGTTAAGGAGTAGGCCTGAAAAGTACAAGAAACGGCCAGTCGCCGTTTCTTGTACTTTTCGTGACTTGTTCACAGAAGATCTAAAATCGTGTCATTTGACCGGATCTTATCAAGACCAATGATAGTTTAAAATAGCTACTGGACTTCCACCGGGTTCGATATGGTGCTAGGCATTTCAAGTCGATACCTACTAGCTTAATCGAATTCGTTTCGAAGCTTTCATCTGACCATGGTTTAAGCAAGTTTTTTTTTTTTATTTAAAGACAAAATCCTTGCCGCAAGGCTCTACAATGACACGGATATAAAATTTGTTGTCAGTTATAATGCCGTTTCAAATGATGCCACTAATCTTGGTACTTGTTTAGGACATAGCAGTCCCAGGCCACGATGGATCGCCGCCACTAATATCCTATACACTAATCAGAGGAGAGTTTCGCTCAGAATTGGGCTTGCCAAGCTGCTCCGTTTCTACGTAAGCCGCGTTGCTACACCGCCATGTTTGTTGCACACTCGCGCCTTTGCCTACCCTTTCGTTCCTACATATTCGAATGTATTGGTGGCAATTGAGAAGGAATGAGCAGAGCAGAGAGGATTAAGCTATTGTATTGTTTTCGACATGCTGATCCATACGAAGTGCCGGTATAGCAGTGCTGTGCAGATTTTGCAAGCCTACCTCCCGGTGCACACGGTAATTTGCCGAACTATTTGGTGTTGGGTCTCGGCCAGTACACCCTGCAAGAATTCAAGGCATACAAGACGCTTGAAGCTCACAAGCAATATGTGGATGGATGGGTGCAGGAGATATACACCCACAAACCAGCCAACGGCAATAACACTCATTGCTGCCAAGATGAAGATAATGGATTAAAGGACCATGACAATGTAATCTAATCTGTAAATAATAATACTTGTTATTCTTACTTGTGTAACTTATCTTGTGGCAAGTAACAGATTTTGCCAATGGAAAATATGTAGTATCGTGTACCATTGATATTTACGGCTGGTAAATTAATATACGATACATATATCAGATTCAGTTCGATTAAACTGTTACGATAATCAAGTCACGAAAAGTTCAAGAATCGGCAACAGGCCATGGGCCTATTTCTTCAACGCCGACACTTCTATTCTATTCTAATACTTCTCATTCTTACTTGTGTAACTTATCTTGTGGCAAGTAACAGATTTTGCCCATGGAAAATATATAGTATCGTGTACCATTGATATTTACGGCCGGTAAATTAATATACGATACGTATATCAGATTCAGTTCGATTAAACTGTTACGATATTCACGGCTGGTAAACTGAAGAAACGTATTCCATTGTCCAGTTTTCTGTCTAAATAGTGAGAATGACTATGTATCCCACAACGGCGCAGTAGAGTCCAATCTTCGAGCAAAACGTTCAAAAAAAAAAAGACAAGCGCAATAGATTGAACACGTAGGCGAAAGCCACCTAGACCATACAACAAATATGGCCGCCGACCCCACAATGCATCTCGCGATTTGGTGCCGTAACGTCATCCATTCGACCCCGAATTGGTGTGGGACTGAGAGATGTTTCACTGAAAATGCGTACAGCAGTTATTCGTCAGTTGGACGACACTAAAGAAATAGGCACATGGCCTGCTGCTGTTCTTGTATTTTTCGTGACTTGATTTCACAAGAGATCCTGCATATTGAACCCGATATTTCCATAACTGTAGATTGATTGAGATAGCTGGTAGACTTATTGCAAAGCTCATAAGGTGCTAGGCATTTCAAGAACATGTGCTCCTGCATAGCTTCGTCTAGTCTGTTCTTGAAGGCGTTCATACTCGGAGCGTCAACGATGCTATCATGGAGGCTGTTCAACATGTCGGTGACTCGAAGCGAGAAGAAATGTTGTCGCATCGATGTGTTTTTTCTTCTTTCAAATTCTAGTAATCCTTCTGGGACCTTGTTTTATCCGTGGGTATACGTCTACTTGTATACTTCAATGAGGTCACCACCCAGACGTCGATAACAGAGGCTTGGAAGCTTCATAATCTTCAATCTTTCTTCATTAGGCGTGACAATACCTGCTGAGCTGCAGCATGGTTAACCATGGGTGAACTATATCAGGACCATGAAGATGTCCTTTAACTAATTATTCTGTCTTCTTTCACCCAACAATCAGCGGCTGGTGAGAGTGCACCCGAAATTAAAATTAAACCAGGAATGGCAATATAAAACAAAGACCCTGGCAAAAAAATCAAGTTGTCCCTAGGCTGCGAGCTGTGATCTCTTCATAATCATGCCCAAAGTCAATAAAAAAAAGATAGGTGCCTGCTGAAGAACCAACTTCCATGTCTTCAGTAAGTGGACGAAAGAAGAACCAATGCATGCTTGCAGACTACTGCTGCTCCTGACAGTCCTGACTCCAGTGTTGCCAGATGGTATATTTCTATACCAGATTCACAAATCTGGTATTTTCAGAAGGTGTCTGGTATGAATATTTTAGATTAGGTATATTTGCATCAACCTGGTATTTTTTTGTATTTTCTGATTCACTGCAAATTTACTGCTTTAAAGCTCCACCTCTGAAGTTTGAACTTCTCCATCGTAGGCGTGGATTATATAGATTACCTCGAAGTAGCGCGACTAGAGGTTTGCCGCCATTTTTGGGACCGCAAGTTCAGCGCATGATGAAATAACCCCAATCTAATTGTAAACATTTAACAAAAGTGTTTAGTGCGAGAGTGATGATCCTTGATTGATCAGTGATGATATGGCCTAGGACGAGTGAGGTTGTCGAACCGATCTCTGCGACGCAAGCTCCACCACTTTTGTTTTGTGGTTTTGAATTCTAGAGTGCCACTTGAATTCTGGGGTGCCATTCAATATTTCACTTATCTTGAAAATCATCAACCATTCATAGAACTGGCTGCCTACTGCATCACTTGTCTACTTTGACAAGTCTAAAATGCATTCGTGGAGCGAGTGTTTTCACAATCACAAGTCACCTATGTGAAACACGAGCAACAAAATACAATTTCAACTAAGGTACTAGAGTCCGTTAAGCCCCGTCCACACGCTCAAACTTATCGTCAGTCTTGCTGCTCTTGCATGTCATGCCAGGTTTGACCGATTTTGACGGAAGACTGAAGAACGTCTACACGTTCAAACTTTCCATCAGTCTTGTACGCTCGCGGCAACGGAGGAGCTAGTGCTGTTCGCTGCAGTGATCGCGGTTCGTGCCACCAAAATTAGGTGAAAGCGATGCAAACGTACGCGGTGGTCCCGAAAATGGTTTTTAAAAATACTACAATGGTCAATGAGGGTTGATAGACAGCATCCCTATCACCACCAGAATGCATTGACGACTTCATTTTGGCACATTATTATCGATAGAGTTTATTTTCTTCGTTACAAAGTCTTTGTTTGCTGTAGGATCAACTTTTTTGTACTTAGAAATCAATGCCCCATAGGCGTTCGATTCAGGGCTTATTGGTGCACAAAATTGGTGGTGCACGGCTGCGCTCCCTGAAGAGCTACTATGAAGAGCGTGTGGACGGGACTTCATTCGGACCAAAGGCTATCTGCTCAACCGCAACAAGTGATCACAGTCGAAATGTTAGATTAATGCAATATGCAAGCATGTACGAAAATAAGTAAAACGAAGATGACCTGTTTCCGTGGCTTGCTTATGTTGAGCGAAGGGGAAAAAGTGCCAAACTGTGATAAAAAAAAAGGAAAAAGTGTCAATGTATTCAAACACAGGAAAAAAAGTGTCAAAATGTTCCAAACAGAGGGAAAAAAATGTAACGTGTTCATTTTGGCTAATTATTGTCAAGCCAGATAAATGCGCAGTACATAACATTAATTTTTTTTACCAACGTTTCTGACGAATAGTTTCATTAAATTTGAAGGTATTAGTCTGTTTTTCAACAATAGAATGTCCGGTATTTTGAGCTAGGCAATCTGGTATTCTCGCCAACAAAAAAGCCGGCAACACTGCACCCCTGACACCTGAGTCCTAATAACTTTTCAGTTGAACCAGTGCTGTTGACGTTGAGGGATATGTTTTCACTGGATCACTGCTGTAGGTTCCACTCGGTGACTCTTCCACAGTCCTGTTGCATCTAGTCTAGTGCACCTCTACTGATTTTCCGATAAAAATACCTAACTATAATCTCTCCCGTGCAGCTATTGAACAAATATTAAATTAAGTACTTTTCGACCTGTGTACAGTGTACTTTTGATTTCTTCAGAGGTGGGCCCATTGGCTGATTGGGCATTTTCAGTGAACTTGAGTAATGTCACTAATGTGGCCAGTGTGTTTAGTCTTAGTGAATTAACTTCTGTGTCTTTGAGCAAGTTTAATGATATACTGATAAATTTTAAAACGGAATTATAAAGATGCCTGTCCAGTCAGAAGAACCTGTAGATTATAAAAGAAGATACAAGAACTTGAAAAGAAAATTAAGACTTCTCATCTATGTGAGTTTTTATTATATTATTGTATGCTTGTCCTATTTATCTGGGTTATCAATATCAAGTTGTTTTATGTATGCTAGACCATTATTTATTTACATTTTTAATCAATCATAATTTGTATTTAGTTTTAATCAATCATAATTTGTATTTAGTTTTAATCAATCATAATTTGTAATCTTGTGTAGCTCTTAAGTCTAAGACATTTTCTATCTTTTCTCTTAACCACACCATCAAATGGGGTAATAAGAGACAGTCCTCACTCCTCAGACATTTTGTAGAAATTTCGTAGCAGCTATACTACCTACCTAATTAAAATATTGCTAAACTAAAAATAGTGGCATTAAGTTCAACATTTTTCCTATCTAGCCTAGGTATATAGCATAAAGCAAGCTTGAAACGTAATACATTTACTACCTATAAAAAAATCCCTGAAAAAAGTGTGAAAAGTGAGATTTTGGAAAAGTACCATAAATTACATAGTGGCAAAGCAGAGAGTTTTTTAGACTCTCCCTCAAGTTCATTTTTGAGTCTTATATGTAGACCACTAAGACCAGTAAAGTATCCTGGATACCTGCATTATCATACATAAGAAATTCATTTAAATTGTGAGTAAATGACAAAATTAAAAATGAACAGATTCTAAAAAATCCATGGTTTGTCACTATGCCGTAAAATGGGGTTACTTTGACCTTTTCGTTTTTTAACAAAAACCCCCAAAACTCAAAAACTATTTGACATAGAAAAATTTTGTCAATGGGCATTAAAAGCCTAATAGTATTACTGACTACTGAGGCTTCATAACACAATAGAAAGATTTTAAAAGTTTGCATATCTAATAGGTTGAAAAATTAAAAATGTGACCCACAAAAAAAAGCTATTATTTAAAGCCTGTCAGAGTACCCCCTCCAATTTTTTTTCTGTCCAGTCGGAAGAACCTGTAGATTATAAAAGAAGATACAAGAACTTGAAAAGAAAATTAAGACTTCTCATCTATGTGAGTTTTTATTATATTTTTGTATGCTTGTCATAATTATCTGGGTTATCAATATCAAGTTGTTTTATGTATGCTAGACCATTATTTATTTACATTTTTAATCAATCATAATTCATAATTTGTAATCTTGTGTTAGTTGTGTAGCAGCTCTTAAGTCTAAGACATTTTCTATCTTTTCTCTTAATCACACCATCAAATGGGGTACTAATAGGCCTTAAGCCTAAGGGACAGTCCTCAGACATTTTGTAGAAATTTTGTAGCAGCTAAACTACCTACCTAATTAAAATATTGCTAAACTAAAAATAGTGGCATAAAGTTGAACCATAGTGACAAACCAGAGATTTTTTTTAGAATCAGTTCATTTTTAGTTTCCTCATTTACTCAAGATTTCAACCAATTTCTTATAATAATGTCATAATGCTGGTATCTATGATACTTTGCAGTTTGCTGGTCTACTTATCACACTCAAAAATGAACTTGAGGGAGAGGCTAAAAAATTATCTGCTTTTCCACTTTGTTAAAAGTTCAACATTTTTCCTATCTAGCCTATATAGCATAAAGCAAGCTTAAAAAGTAATACATTTACTACCTTTAAAAAAATCCCTGAAAAATGTGTGAAAAGTGAGATTTTGGAAAAGTATACCTCTGAGCTAGCAGCTAAGGTCTGTAGCAAAAAATATATATATATATATTGGTCGTATTGGAAAATTTTACTTGCATAAAAGTTGCATACATGTGTTGGCTTAAATGAGTGATTGACAGAATTTTCATAGCTCATTCCCCCAAAATGGCAGCCATTTTTGCACAACTGGGTAATAAGGGACACCCCCCCCCTGGGCCCCACTGTGCAGAGAGTGGATGAATATTGCAACATCTTTGATGATGCTCCACACTCAGGATGATGTATGTTTTCGGTGAATTTTCCCACGCATTTTCACTTTTTTAAGCTATTGCTGTGCACAGTTGGCGCAATGTAATGAAAGTTGATTATCTTCGTGCACGTGTTCGCGCAATCCCGGCCATCTTTATTTTAGAAGAAATTTTCTCCAAAGTCATATGGCAACACTGAACACCGTCTGTTTACATTTCGTATGTATAACAGCCGCAGTTTACGATTACCGTACGTTCCGTATCCGACAAGGCGGACAACCGGAAGAGTCAGAAGTAACCTGGACATGTCTTACATTTTATTGTCAGTTCGACTCGCGTAGTCAATACTCAATATACCCGCGTATATTGTCGACTAAAATAGTAGAACCATTTTAGCTTTCTAAAGTACGGCGCACAGCGCATTTTTTTACCAACGTAGTACGGCGCACCGCGCAGGTCGTTGAAATGACAAAATAAATTCCCGCGCACCTGGCACATCTTCCTGACCATGGATGACGCTTCAGTAGCAAAATTTACGCCTTCAGAAGATCTTGCCATTTAGATTGAAATTCTTGCATTTAACATCCTTTAGCGGGCAAGCATTGAAATATCCAGAAATTAAAATTTCAGAAACCATTTCGAGAAAGTAAGAAGTATTATACAATATATTTCTATGAATTTTTGCAAATTTTGCCTATTGAAGGTTTAAATCGCACTTGAAGGATTCAATAAATGCAATCAGTACACAAAATTTTTCTTTATAATTAAAATTCAGTTTATGCAAATGAAAAATTAGAAACATAAAAATTTAATTTAATTAAATTTAATCAAGTTGCCAAAATAAATAAATATATATATTGATACTTCCACCTTTTGAAGAAAATGCGGAAAGAGCGTGNTATCCCTTAAAAAATGTTATAAGGTGATATTTTGAAAAAGTATTTCTGCTAAGGTCTGTAGTAAAAATATATATACCATATTAAAAAATTTCACTCAAAAAAATAAAATTGCAGACAGGTGTTGGCTTTAAAACTTTATTGGCAGAATTTGCGCACCTCAATCAAAAACAAAATGGCTGCCATTTCTGCAAGACAAGGTAATAAGGGGCACCACTAAAAGCACATTTACAGTAAAACCTTGGTTAGCAGAGGCCATGGTTAACAAAAAATTGGTAAACAACAAAGAATTTTGATTAAATTTACCTATCTCAGCCAAAAAATTTCACTCAGTGAAAAATTAATGCATCATTGGTTTTCACAAAATTGTGCACAGAATGTCATATATAGAATTGTGCACTGGGCAACATAGAATGGAAAGTAATGAAAATTGTATACTATGATATCATTCATTGAGGGACAACAAATACAAATCATAGAAAACATTATTTATTCTGCAGCTACATCATCTACAAATGAAGAGGAGGACTTCAGAGTACTGTTAGTAATGGATGAGTGCACTCTGCAAGATTTAAACATCTAAAAATTATGTTTATTTTTATGTCCTTTATTACCTCATTCCCAAGGTAGTTCAGGAGGCTTTTATTTGTGTCTGGCACCTTACGAATAGAACATGGAATTTTTTCAGAGATGCCATATGATAGCCCTTGCAAAGACCTTTAACCCTTTTACTAGCAAGTTACATATATGATCACTTGAAATCGCCTCACAAAAAGCCCCACCACGGCTTCCTGTTTGTTTTTGAGGTGTCCTCATAACTCTTCAGTCAATCACTAATTATCTGACTATCCTTCCATCCATAGCATCACCACCTGCAATATCCACAAATTAAAATATGAGCATTTACATGAAAGTTTTGACTGGATGATGGAATTGACCCTCTTTCCACATTTTTTTAAAAGGTGGAAGTATTAAGGGGACCAGCTACCCTCCGGAAAAACTTCTACAGTTATTATCCGATCATCATAAAACTTCACATACGTACAAAAAATATATAAAAAAATACTTAAAAAAACTTTTTTTAAAAAACACGTTTTTCTTGTGGACTAAAAAGTAGAAAATAAATTATGGTTCGCCCCAAAAAAACGTGTGTCTTAGAAAGATGTTTCTGGTACCGTTTGACGCGTCAGAAAGTAAGCTTTAAGATGAGTATAAGCACCGGATAATGCCATAATTGGCCGCTCTACGTCAGACGTTCCTTTTTAGTGTGTCCAGCCTTCGAATTAATCCCATAGACTTTACTGAAGGGGCCTCAAAACGGCCCCCCTTTGGGGAGCTGTCACGAAATCATTTTTCGATGTAGAGAGATGATTCTGTTACCGTTTGATGCGTCAGAAAGTAAGCTTTAAGATGAGCACAAAAACCGGAAAACGCCCTAATTGAAAATTTAGGGGTAGCCGGTCCCCTTAAGGTATGTAATAATATTTCAGCAAGGTACTCCTGCTAAGGTCTGTAGTAAGAAAATATTAGCTGTATTACAAATTTTGCTTGAAAAAATTTACTGTCAAGTGTAGGCTTTGAAATTTCATTGACAGAATTTTTGTACCTCAATTTAAAACAAAATGGTAGCCATTTCTGCAAGACAGGGTATTAAGGGACAGTGGGAGCATGGTACCCCTCCCCACATGGTGTAATTCTCATATAGTGCGTAAAGCATTCTAATTTTTGCGCAAAAACGTGTCCGTTTCCAGCTATGATGGGTTGAAATGTCATCCTCTCAAGACTGTGATTGGTTACCAGTATGCGATGGCCTTTTCAATGGGGTAATAAGGGATGTTTTTTTTTTCTTTAATAACTTCTTACCATGAAACATTTCATAAACAAGTTTTTGCTCATTTTAAAGGTTTTTACCATGGCTATGTTAGGGCATCTAAAAAAATTTCATAGGTACGCTATTAGCAAGGTGCCAGAAGCAAAAAAAGTGTCCTGAATTACCCCTGGGACAGGGGAATCCAGGACAATAATTTAAATAAAACTTGATTTTAATATTAAAATGTTTGCAGGGTTTGTACCGGTCATGGAAAATTTGGAAAGTCATGGAAAATGTTTTTTATTTTTCCAGGCCTGGAAAGTCATTGGATTTCATTTCAGGTTATGGAAAATCATGGAATTTGCAAATCATGAAGAATAAAGGAAGTTTTTTACAACACTTCTCTTTAACTTCACTTCTTGTTTGTCTGTCTGTCTGTCTGCTACAAATCTTATAATCAATATTTAACACACTTCTACCTGTCCAATCGATCTGAAATTTGACACACTTGCGTAAAGTTGGAGACAATGCATGAATCAATTGACAGAATAAATAATTTAAAATTAAATTTTTTTTTTCATTATTAAACAAAATAAAAAAAAATAATTTCATCTGCTACAAATCTTATAATCCATATATGACACAATTTGACCTGTCCAATTGATCTGAAATTTTGCACAATTGCATAAAGTCAGAGACAATGTATGAATCAATTGACAGAATTAATAATTTTGAAAATTTACAAAATTTTGATATCTTGAATACATTTTGAAAAATATATATATTTTTTTTTCAATATTTGAAAATAAAATTAGAAATTCATTGTACATGTGTAACATCCAAGACACTGGATTGTTCAGAAGTGTTGTCTTTAAAAAGAAATTTTTAAATGCATATTATTTCTGTGCTGCAAGTGTTAAACTTTTTGTGCAGTCTCTTGTTTCCTGCATTTTATTGGCCCATATGAAACAAGAGACTGTGCCACAGTCTCCTGTATCATGCATTCTGATTGGAGTACCAATCACGTAAGCTTGGTCACCGAGTTCAGTTGCTTTGGACAACTTTTTGATCTGCAGTGGCAGCGTTCCATCTTCAGCATGCAATTTCTACATCACGATGCCTGGAAAGTGTAAATTTCATGACTTGTGGTTAATAATGGAAGCTTATTGTGCCTGGCTTGCTTGCATCCAAAGCATGAAGGAATGGCAATACAAATGTACATTGTGTTTGAAAGACTTCGGTGTGTCAAATATGGGGGAAGCAGCTTTGAAGAGCCATGAAGAGCTATGCATTTACACATATGCTATTTATCTACTGTAGGTGATGATAGAATATGCATGGTTAGTCTTTCAGTCATGCTAAACCTGGTGTATACGAGTCTTGAAAAATTATATTGATGATCATGGAGTCCAAAGTCCTCTTCATTTGTTGTTGTAGTTGTAGATAAAGTAGATGTAGAATAAATGAGGTTTTCTGTGATTTGTACTTGTTTTTCCTTACCATACCATATTCATTTCATTCATTCTATTACAAACACTTGAAAAAAAACTTCCATTGACAGTCATAAATAATTAAAGTGTGTGAACAAAATCTAACTTTGGTCTACTGGCAAACAAATATGTTGATGAGCAGCTGGACATATTGATACATATGTATGTATATAAATGTACAACCTACTAATCTTGGTGCAGAGCACTGACAAGAAAAATTAGTTTAACCACTTATTTTTTACAGGAAAATGAATGTTTTAAAGAAGAGCTTGAAAAGGCTAACAGAGCTCTACTGCAGATACAACAAGACAAAAGCTTCCTGCTGGAACAGTTGTTACCTTACCACCAGCCCGAGGCATCTTCTTCCGACTCAGACCTCACTGACTACTCAGATACTGAGAGCGGCAATGTAGCCCTTGCCAAGAAGTAAGTTGCCATCTTTTTGATGAGAACTGGCAAGGACAACTGTGGGACAGATTAGGGAGGCGTTTTCATTTTGTAATGACAAGTTAATTGCAAAGAGTGAAAAAGGGAAGAGCTTGTTTACCTCTCTTCAAGAATGAATATTCTGGCTTGCAAAATGTTGTATTGTGAGCAATTATCATTGAAATTGTTGCTTCAATCAACTTATAGCATTTCCAATTCCCTATCTCAAATATCACAATTTTATTTTTAAAAGGAAGCGCTCTGGTGAAGGCATCAATTCTTCTTCAACTGCTCAAGCTTCAGCTTCCAGCAGCAGTAGTGGCTTAACCAATTCTAACTTCCCTTTACTAGTGGCTGGTAAGACTCGTGTACTTATTTTTGAAAATTTCATAGCTGTTCTTGTAAAATTACCTGTTGGTTATTTTGTGGAATTGTATTCACTATTTATGATAAGCAATAGGTACTTTTTCCTTTGAAGTATAATGCTTGACCCACTAATTTACCCTGAAGTCAACCTGGCGATTTTTCCTTGTTTGGAGATATGCACGTTCATTGTCATTTTCAAATTTGAGGGTATCATATACTGATCGCATCATATTAAGAGCAATTACACATTTCAATCTCAATTTGTTTAAATTAATTTTGAGTTACAGACAGTTACTTTCATTCCCAATTGATTATAAATCCGTGAAATTTTCAGGAGGAAGTCGTAGTGTTCCAGCTGGTGGCAAAGGACTTCCTCGAGCTACATCAGGCAGTAAACCCTCATCTTCTGCTGCTGCTGCTGCTGCTGCTGCTTCTACTACTGGCAAGAAAAGAACTGTGTCCCTCACAACTAGAGGTGGGAAACAGGTAAGCCTATCCATTCTGCAAAAGCATTTTCCTGTTAGTTATATATCTGTTAGCCTAACCTAAGTGCTCAATGAGTTTCAACCTATATTTTATTCATTCCTGAAAAATTTGTGTTTTACCTTATTAATTTAGTCTTCTGCACAACATTGTTGTTTTTTCCTATTTTACAAGGATATTTGATTGAAAAACTTGGGGCTTTGTGTAAACATAACATGAAGGTTAACAACAAATTTGTAAGTTTGTCATTAATTTTTTGCATAGGCTGGACGAGGTAGACAGAAGAGGGCTCCCACAAAACCAACAAAAGATCTGCCTGGCACTTTGGTGAGTTGTCCATAATAATGCAACAAATAGCATCACCTGTGCAGTTTTTGAATGAAACTCTCATATCTGGTGGGTGCAGAAGAGGTCTGACGTTTTTCATGAAAGATCTAGAGTATCTAACCTATAATTTTTTTAGATTTTTGTGAAAATCTGATTTTTTCGTTAAAAATAAAACGACCTCAATGATAATATTCTGCAATATGTGCAACCACATTTTAGCCATCAAAAACTAATCAAAAGGCCTTTTTGTGATATGATTTGCATAAAAATGTCTATGCAAGTGCACCAACCTTTTCTATATAATTGAAACGCTCTTGTAGATGGTACAGTAAAAGAAATGAGTTTAAAGAAGGGTTTTAATCTTTTCCAAGCAGGTATTGTATGCAAGAAAGTAAAGTTGATCATGTTGAATGAGTGGTTAGATATTGAAGGGACCACGCAAGACAAATTATTTTACAACACTCAGCACTCGCATGTAGTAAATGAAGTATCACAATACTCGAACAATTACTGCCAGCCTCACCTGCTGTCTGTATTGTCACCCAGTGTCATGTTTTATGCTAAAGTTATCTTCTCGGTGAAATAAAAGTGTGTCCTTATCCACACCAATCATCGCAGGGACATGGATTAGCACTATATTGGGCGATATATCACCCAGAGAACATTTCCCTTCAAACAGCAATAGGAATTTGCTTTTCTACAACTGACGACGATAAAATAACATGGCCACTGGCGTCATTCAAGCTTAAATGGTTTTCTCCAACTCATCTCCAATATTCAAAGCAAAGCCTACTCAATATAAGGGACACTTCCCTGCTGCATTGTATTATTTCTATGTCATGTTTCTCATGATTTGGCTCTTGACTATCATTCATTTTGGATACTTCAGAATTATTGGCAAGATTGTTAATTTTCATGTGTAGAAAAGGCTCAAGTTGACTGAATTCATTTTTATTAAAAATGTAAATAAATTTTACTGACTTTCCATTAGTTGGTTTGAAAACTATTTGAATGATGGTTTTGCAATCAAGTTAGTGTTTATAAACTTATAAATATTAAAAAAATATTTTATTTTTGTTTAAACGTAAAAATTAATTTTTTTTATATAATATAGTATTTATTCACATTTGTCATCATGAGTTTGTTTTGCCAAAAAACACAATTAAAACATGCCCTAACATTTTTTTAGGATGGCAATTGAAATGTAAATTAGAATGTAGCAAATCGGAATTTGCAAATTGGCTGCGCTTACTTTTTCCATATCCACTAAGTTTTTAGTGATTTTGCCGGTCCTTTAGGCAAAAATAAAATGTAATAAGAGTTTTGTGGAACTGTGATGAAGTTTGTCAATATTCAATGAGAAGAATAACTTGCTTTTTATTTCCAGAATAGATACTTTGATGTTTATTATATTTTCATTTTAACTTCTTGGCCGATTCGATAGGCATAAAAAAAATTGAAAGGGTCATTTCCGCAGTATTGGCATGAATTTCTTCTTGATCTGCTACATTGCAGGGCGTCCGGCTGAGTGGACAAAGCAGTGTAGACGCGGCAGACGACGACGGCCGCGGCGTGCCTGAGCTGAGCAGAGAAGAAGTGGAGCGCGACTTGCTGGCTCGACAGACTATCGCCGAGCTCCACACTCCTGTCTCCCTCACGCTACCTAATCAGCTCTTCTCTGATAACATCATGGACGGGTTAGAGCTCGGGTTTGAAAGTATTTTTGATTATGATGTGGATTAATGCGCTTCGCTTACTACCTACCTACCTACCCATCATGTTGGGTCAGTTGCCAGTTCATGGCATGATAAAGTTTGTTTTTCTAACTCCAGAGAAATAATCTTGGTCAATTTCTTACCACGATATCAGCCGAGCATATTTCACGCTTTGGGAACTGTACCACCGTAACCGACAAAGAATTTAGAGCAGAGCCTTTTGCTCCTCAGTCCTCATGTAGCCATTTTTAGATTATATGGATAAATAGATAAACCTTCGTTCCTCAGTAAAATATTTTAGAGATGGTTCCTGATGGGTGTTCATCTTCGTAATCACGAAAGTTTATTTAGTCTGAAATTGTGGTTCTTTGATAATTATTTGCTTGACGCAAGAAGTCACAGATATTACTTATACCTAATAATAACTTCGCTGGGAACTTGACACTATTTCGTGTATTTGGCGTAAAATATAACATTTTTGAATAAAAATAATGAAGGGCATTCACAATTTGGTGTTCTACCTAATTTTTTATATCCGATTATTCTTATCAGACACAACCAGCGCCTAGCCTGAAAATCATAGGTTTAAAAAGGTTTCAACCTAGCAAAGTTTATTAATGCATTGACGGACGACTTCAAGATTTCTGATTTCATTAGTGTGTGTTTTGTTCATGCTGAACGAATTTTTTATTCACGCGATCGCTTCCTTATTATTTAAAACATTCAATATTTTTTCCGATCTCCACCAAGTAGGCATATCCAGAGGAAATTAATTGATTTATATCACAATACTGTAAAGAAGTGAGATCAAGGCACTTCTTGTGATTGACTACATTCCTTCATTTTTTTCCGCCTTAAATACAGTGTTGAGTTACGCATGAAAAAATAGCATTAATTAGATCGTAACTAAGATGCATATATGTGAAGTTAACGCTCTTCAGGGACCTACTGGAGGACATGGAAACCACAAGCAATCTGGACGAAGACGCAGGCAGCGGCTTGGGCGTATACGAAGAATGAGGAAAATGCTGGAGCACGGACGCGTCCTGTCAGACGTTCAGGTCGGTGTGAGGGTTGCTGTGTTACAACTTTGTGAAAGATGATCGTAGTGCAGGGACTCCAAAGATTTCTTGGCCTAGTGACAAGTGGAATAGTGAAAAAACTTGACGTTAGAAATATATATTTATTTACGGAGGTGCAAGAGTATGAATTTGTTAAAATTGGCTTGAACTAGAATTAGAAGAAATTATACATTTATTTGAATTACGATAAGCGATTAAAATTAAGTGTCTTGCTAATTCTAGCACTTGATAATCCTAATAGAATAATTCAAATATTTCAGATTTTAAACCAATTCCATTATTCATCAACGAGTAATATCGATGCTCATGATTATTGAGTGTCCTCGTGCTATCACAACCCACGATTAAGTAAATTAATGCTTATGGCAAGACATCGGCTGGATAGACAAATGCGTGAATGAACGATTGTATTTTGACGAATCTGTTCCCTAATTGAAGGCACTATCTATACACTAGATTCGCGAATGCAGCAAAGATTGGTGACTAGAACAAATAAATTACATCATCTCCTTTGCAGCATATTTTGCTCTATGTATAATTTTTCGTACTTTTTAAAAATTTCAAAATTCATCTGCGTAATGCCCTTTACAGGGATAAAATAACTATTAGAAACAAAATACGTAGGACTTAGATGCCAAAGTAGATATCTACATCTGGAACATATCTGTAGTAAAAAGGTGAAAAGCGAGAGATTTATAATAAAGAATTGAATAAAAGTTCTTGGGATTGCCCAAATTAAAATGTTCTCATTTTTCTCAGGAAAAGGTGAATTTTGTGCCCAACTTGCGACGAAAAGCAGAGCGACGACGAGCAAAAATATTGAAGGACTGGAGCCATAGGCCCCACACACCAGTTGGTCCCGGTAGTAATCAACGTGAGGCGGCGGTAACTTGTCGGGCCTGCAGAATTTATGACCTCCCTGCCCACATGTGCATGTTATAACTCAGCTGTATCTGTTGTCGACTTATTGTATTTAAACAAGATATTGTTAAATGAGTTAATATTTCACCAAATCAAACCTATCACCTCTCGGTTCATTGAATTTTTATTGAACAAACTGCTAGAGGCCTCACCTTGCAGACATCCGCGCAAGCTGGACAAATAACTCCACCCATGTGAAGCCATCCTTGCTCGAATACCTTAATGGAGATCACCTGCGTACAATATTTTCATTATACAACCAACAACACAATGCTACTTTGATTGCCATCCGTAGAATTAATTATGTCAGACGAGTATAGATATTTTTCTGATATGACACTGCATTAAAAATGCCGTTCATCGCTTGACATCAGCCGTGTCTCTCTGATTTGTACGTACCTGTCTAAAAAATAAGCCCAATCCATAACTCATAACTGAATCGAGTTATAACTGACATTATAATATTGGAAACTCGCACTCACTTGATTCGCATGGTAGCAAGTGAAGGTGTGATTGGCGACCACTATGTGCACGCGACTGTCCATGCACTTATACTCGTAGCAGCCAGAGCCCCAGTGCTGCCACGTACGCATCTGATGACACGTGCGTTCCGTCCATTCCTGGTCGTGGTAGAGGCACAGCGAATTCGCGCTGTAGTTCTCCAGTGCAAAATTCCGCTCAGGTTCTGGCGGACCATTGCAATAATAACCTTGGATTATTCTAGAATCTAGGATATCAGAATCATTGAAAAATGCTTTTAATGATTTCATCAATGAAATATTTGAATCAAAATGACTTCATTCAAAAAGAAGATTTGCGGGCAAAATGAAATTCTTCTCAAACCCTCGGAGTAATCTACACCTGGAACTTGGTAGAATAGAAACATTCGGTAACATCATCAGTCTTTTACCGCTTCAAATAGTGCATCTACTTAACATACCTATGACTGTCGAAAAATAAAGGAATAAATGAGGCGTGATCTGCTTGGACGTAGCTCAATAGAGCACCCTGTCATGGCTCCTCACCAGGATTGTTCTCGGGAAAGTTGCAATGGGAGCCTCTAACGACCACGTTTTGGCTCTTCCACGTGAACTCTTGAATGTAGGGGCAGTAGTCGGCGAGTGTCACGGACCCTCCATAATGGTTTAGCTGCTTCTCGCTCACATGAGGGATGCCGTGGAAGTTCTGGAAAATTGTAGCGTGTTTTAACAGGCATTACATAATACTGAATACAATGTCAGTTAACTTCTTCATTTTACGCCGCTTGGACGGACGATAATCTTGAATAAATCTTAGCTTGACGAGATCGAAGGCCCGAAAATTTTCATAGTAGCTCTTCATGGTTTCTCTTTTGCTTTCAGCACAATTTTAGCTAGTAAACTGACTATAATAACTTTGATGGATTGCACAAAATTTAAAAATACCCGATTACCCGTTGATGCGTCTGATGAGGCTCACTATTACCTGGTATCGCTCCGGTAAGGCAGTGGGATATTCAACGAGATTGCAGAGCGCCACAGAGCTTCTGTCGTCGGTGCACTCTGTCTGTAGCGGATCTCTCTTCACTTTATTGCAGAACGGATGCAGGGAAAGATTTCTGGAAAACATAACTCATTACTTGAGAGTTGATGTAAGAAACGAAATTGCCGAATTGGCAGAAAATTAACACTAGCATAAGAAAAGAAAAAAAAATATTTACTAGATATTCCATCAATGCTTATAATGTTACTCATTTACGTAGTTCTTCACGACATATAAAAAAAATTCGACGGACAGTAGTCAATTTAAAAAAAAATGAAAAATATCACCGTACACTACTTCAATATCAGAGACGTGACTCACTGCATGGAACGCTGCTCCATCCAGTCAAGGCAGCTCTTAGTGGCGAAGAAGCAGCCCAGGTTTTTGCCCCACGCCAGCTCCTGAGCGAGGCTGTAGTCTGCCGTGTACCAGCCGGTGTCCTCCAGTAACGCGAGAGTCAGGCGAGAATACACGGGGTTCTGGGTGTGCGTTCCCGTCATGGCTTCGTTCTGACGGAATAAATGACGGTGAGATAACGGTAGTCTTTTAATGAGAATGTGATTTGCAAAACAAAATTCCGACGTTATATACGAGAGATAAGATCTTTCTCAGCCGAATCTGCAGCTGTATGCAAGTATGAACGAGGGATAAAACTCGTTGATTGCTGAAGCTGCAAAGCTTGAAGACTATGATTGCCCCTTAGCCGTAAATTATTAAAGAAACCGCACACATGTCTTGAATAACACACTGAACGTAAAACATTTCGTCCGCGCCGAAGGTAATAGGGTTAAATTAAAACATCTGGATTAACAGACACGCACCTCGAACAGTCTCTTCTCCCAATGCGTGAGAGCTGTGCCTTCTCTTCCCTGGTCTTCTAGCTCGGCGCCTTCAAGGGTCGAGCAGTTGAAGTGACGCTGGACCTGCAGTATGGGTACTATATTTTTAAAACATTCAATAATTCCGTTTGTTCTAGGCGTAAACATTAAATGCTGTACATTGATCTATTTGAAATTTATAATGAATTTCGTTTAATGAGCTAGCTCTTGATTTAGAGTCGTTGAGGTGCAACTATAAAAGAAACGAAAGTTAGCTTCTAATTTATGTACATTTTATTGGAAATGCTCCACCAACCTAGTAGCAAGAAAAAAAAACATCCCGAAAAAATACACATGAATAATCACATCGACTATCTCTTTGTCTAGCTAAGCAGGAAATATATAAAGACATATTTAGTTAGTTTAGTGGCGAAATGTTTACTAGCGCTTCAGCTATCTAGCACCGAAAGTGAAGATGAACATCACCAACTAGGTGGAAGGTCTCAGTTATCGTAAGGTTTCTTAAATCAAAAAATCATTCATCACCCACAAGGGGCGGAAGATCTCAATTGTCCAGCCCGCTGAAGCTGGCTCAAAAGAAGCAGCGTTAGCATCTCAAAGAGACGAAGTGACAAGGAGGGACAGGTGAAAAGCAACAGAAACGAGGACACTAACAAGAGGTCGCTTACACGGGACGTTGGCCGCCCGCACGAGAGAGACAGAGAAGGGAAATGTAAGGAATCCTACCTACATAATAACTTAATACAAGGAATCCTACCTACATATTAACTCAACCCCACAACTAAGGCCTGCAGTCAGACACCGCGAGCTCAGCGGTGGGGTGCTCAGGAACAATCCCCCTAGGAGCACAAAATCATAGGACTTCTGACGAGCACCGAAACGCGTCAGAATTCCCCCCTGAGGGTTAAAATTACTAACAATTTTTCCGTTCAACGCTTTGAAATGTCGGTATATTTTAGCTCACGTCAGCTACGCAAAAGCTTTGTAACGCGGAAGCTGCTTAAGTTAATAATTTTAATTTGGTCCTCACCTCATTCATATTTAATTGAAATATGGCCCTTACCTACTTGACGACCTGCGGGTGTAGACTACCATGATAAGCTATAAATTAGAAGTGACGGAATCTATTGAATAGAAATATGGTCCTCACCTCCTCAACAACTCGTGGGGTGACCACCATATTGACGGACTTGGACACCACGCCGCTGCGCACCAGCCAGTCCGGCCGCACGACGCGCCTGATGACGCGGTCACTCCACTGCCGGGCCTGCAGCCTGCGCGGTAACCGTGCAAGCATTAACTCTTCATCCACAAAAACGTTAACATTCGTGAATGCTATTGGCGTCTTGAGGCCTGGTAACGAGAGATACCGTTACCAGACAGACGGTTTAGAAACATTTTTCTTTTAATCAGGCCGAATGGTTCAGAAAAGCTGGTCATGTTGATGAATTTCAGTATTCTGTTTGGAATAGAATTTTAAATAAAGTGCATTTGTTATCAGCATAGGTAGCATAATGTTTACTTCGCACTAGAGCTATGTTAGCTAGCAACTGAAGTCTGTGTCCACCCATACTTCAATATAGGTGTTATTTAAAAGTTTCTTGGTTTATCAGTCTACGTTTGTTATATTTTATCCGTCAAGCCCACGCCAGAAAACCAGTCGCGCCTAAGTTTGCCTCACATAAAAAAAACACGCTACCTAACGTAACATTCAACAGCTACAGAAATAATAAAGCTATAGTCACAAATAATGCGCGCACAGATGTTGCAGGCTGATTGGCGTTCCTCAAATAATTGTTGCAGTCAAATATAAATCGAGAGAGAACTCTCACAAGCAAGAAACAAACTTTATTTAAGCTCTACGTTGACAGCCCCTTCGGAGCGGCTGATAAAACGAACCGTTTTTTACCGACAAACTATGAAAAAATTTACCGTTCCCCACAGCCTGTGAAGGAATGTACGGTTTCCTACAGCTAATTTATGTAGAAATTCTGCAAATAGCACTTACTGCTCATTAAAGACAGGCTTGCCGTTGGCTGTTCTGTTGGTGAGAGGCAGGCCGTCGTCATCCCTGAAGAAGGCGTACAGGGAGACAGAGAAGCCGAGCGCGTGCAAGATCTCGTGCTTGACGGTGGACAGCAGCGTCTCGACCTCCTGTCTCTTCACGCTGATCGATGACGGGCACAAGTTCACGTGGCCTGCGATGGGTCTGCCCACAAAGATCGTTATTAAACAATAATAACGAATGTAAAACATGCCGTGCACACAGGTCAGCATTACCTAATTGTATATTACTTTCATTACATGCGCAAATATTATCAATTTTTCAATTTTATGCATTCGTAAAATTGATAGAATGGGATTGATTGATGCCACACCACGATAGAGGAATTATCTACAATCGGGTGTACGAGAGAGCCGAGGCACAGAGCCAGACGCAATCTAGGAGGCGCAGCAGTATGCGCCAAATTTAACTCATAAATAAGCCCAGGAGCCAACGTCTAGCTGCACCATGCATCAACTTTACTCAGCCTCAGAACTAAAAGCCGCAGATTACGCTTGAACTCCGTAATCCAGACAAGCGACACACTGCCGAAAGCTAATAGCGCAGTAGGTCTTCAGCCAATGCTTAAGCATGCTCGCTCATAAGCAGGCAGTTCCCCATCCGGCTGTACCTACTCAGGCCTAACCTCTTCTGGCCAAACCTATTCACGCTGTCCCGTCTCACAACCTACTTGCAGCCAATGACTGGCTTTACCAGCACACTTGGACCACCTTTCTAACTTCTTGCAGCCAATGCGGTTAGGTTAGGTCCGCTCAGGTTTGTTTTGGGTGGAGAAAGGTTGCAGCTCGTATAGGCTAGGCCTGAAGAGGTTAGGCCAGAGGAGGTTTGGCCAGATGCAGTATGGCCATGTTTACCTTTGGCAAACTTATTTTGTGGCTGTGGCCGTTGAGTTCATAGGCCATTATACACTCTAGCGTTCTTACCTATGGAAAGGAATATGAACCTAAGTGTGAAGTTTGGCAAAGCTGGCCTCCGGCATGCGCCCGTAATCTAATGGTTGTGCATTTCCTCTTGCTTTCAGAGCGCAACGTAGGTCTATGTAAACATTTATTAAATTAAGCGCACTACAATCTAGTGATCAGTTACCAGCTATCGGTCCAACTTGACACATGACTGCGGTCAGGACGGTCATAACCTAGCGGTCGAGCATGTCCTCTTGTTGGCAGTGCGCAGCTTAGGTTCATGTGACCATTGGTTCTATTAAGTCATTTAAGTGCACCACAAACCAGTTAATTATGACCCAGTTAGGAACAGGACTGTAAGACAGACATGAGAGCTGAGTATTCACCGGTCGAGCATGTCCTCCTGCTGACAGTGCGCGGCGTAAGCGACGGTAAAGCCCTTCTTGCATCGCTGCGTCTCGACGGCGCTGATGTAGAAGACGAAGTCTGCGTCGGGGATGCCTGGCGAGTCTTCTTCCCCGCCCTCAACACGGCAGTCCCGGCCGAAGTGGTTACACACTCGACATCGCTACAGTGAAGGAACCCGTAGTACATGACCGATAACGTTATTCTAACAGATATGTGCAGCTCGTGGAACACATTTAGTAAGTATTCACACGAGTTATTAATGTTCGAAATGATAGCACGAAAAAAAAATCGAGTAAAGAAATCGATCGTCTCAAATTTTCGTGGTCACGACTCACGCCCCACCTTGAGCATGAGTAGGTAGATAAATTGATATCAGTTAGTGGACAGTCTACGCCATGTACCTGTAGCCCTAACGAAAATTTCGAAAAATTACATTTCTTTGGATTCTGTCGCCCCATCACTCGTACCATAAAACTGGACCATATCAACTCTTCTAATGTCATTGAATTTCCATCAACACTATGCAACCGTCAGAAGTGTAGCGGCGTTTCTTGTTCACATCAGTTTTAAAATGTGGTGACAGAGAGAACATGAGCAAGAAAGCGATCACTTATCAGCTTCTTAAAAGTTCAAAACAAAATCAACATAATGCAACAGAAAATCCAGGCTAATGAGCACGTACTGAGTTAAGGGTTTTAATAAAAAATATAACTCAGTACTCACTGCAGTGAGTGACAGAGAGAGCATTTTCTCGTCGACGAAAACATGAAGTCACGGACGGACAGACAGACGGACATGGCGAGCACAATAGTTTATTTTTTTCATAAATGAGAAAATGTGCTAAAAATGAAGGAGAACTCACGTTGAGATGCTCGTCGGGCACTCGCACCTCCCCACACATGGTGACGGCCTCGCACTGCGTGTTGCAGTACAGGTGAGGGTCTCCGTTGATCACGAACACTTGGCTGTCCACGCACTTCCTGTACACATACGAATTAATTTGTTATTGAACGGCACAGTGATATTTTTAGCATATTATTAAACCTGCGCGTCAAGTATTTTGGCTTTGATTAAATTAGGTTAGTTTTTCATTCATTTTTTGGAGTCGTAAAATATTATTTGTCCAGCAAAAGAAATAAAAAAAAGAGAAATGAGAATGAAATATGAAAATCTTATAAAACTTTTTTATATTCAAACCAATTCAACAATTAACAAATAATCTCTGATTTATTATGAAATACGTACCAAAACCGGACGCGATTCATCACAACTTAAATTCGTTATTTACTGATTGAACTAATGCACGGCTGCGCCATTATAACCACTTGATAGGCTGAGAACCACTTGTCACTATATCCTAAACTAGGATATAGCAACATGAACTTTTCACCTGTGTACTAAAAATTCTTCTATTGACTTGAATAATAGCACTGGGATAAATTGATACTAAACACGAACATAAAGCGTGGTACCTGTTCACTAATCATGCAAAAAACGCCAATTGCGCAATAATTAATACTAAATAAAGAAAAGCATGAAAAATGGCACCTGTTGAGTCTGATTACTGGTGCAGTGTTGGTGACTGAGAGAGCCTGCTCCCAGTAGTTGACGGCTTCTGGCAACACCATGTTCTGTCAACACCAGTCGAATTGAAACAACATAAATCGATATATTATTTCAAAGCATCTGCCTTAAAGTGTGAAGGTAACTATGAATATTAAAATGTCATGTCGATAATATTTTAATTTATTAAGGTTTTAGACTAGGGAATAAGAACTTGACATTATATAGAAGACAAATATCAGAAGTATGAAATAGTTCAGTTAGCGCATTCAATAAACCCACTGCAAGTGGAAATTCCAACAACTGTCGAATGTTCACTAATCTTCGCTAATCCATTAGGAAATAAGCTCCATTTGCATGGTCAGGATCGAGGTTCCATCAACATATGCTACAGTAGAAGACGAAATAAATAGGTACTGAATTCGCTCATGATAATGGGTAAGCAAAATATCGGAGAAACAGATTCAAGCACGCACTATCCGAGGAGGGTGAAAGATATGTAGTCGTCATAGGAGATTGTAATTAACCAATAACCCTGCAATACTCACATGGATAAGATTGTACTTGTCATCGGGTAATCTGAAAAACAGAAGCATTGGGTTACAACTGGCAAAAAATATAGAAATAACGATGCTATAAAACCAAGCAAAGAAAACAAACAACACTTAAAATCGTCACTAAATGCCTTTTCATTACTTTCCTGAAGCCTGGCATTTTTCCGTCATAAAACTTCAATGGGATAAAAATTCTATATTAAATATCATTTGCAGCTTTTTGTTTTAATTCCCTTTATACTTTTTTTAAAATTCTCCTTAAAATCTTCTGCCGGTATAAAACAATGCTGCCTTAAGCTACTCTCATTGTCCCCCAAGTTGGTAACGTAAAGCAGGTCACAGTAATTAATGGCGTGTGATCGGACCCTTCATTAGTCACGGTACACCTGGCACGAGGCTACGCGGGTTTCCGAGGTCACAGAACACAAATTTTTTTAGACCTTATCGGCCTGCGAACAGCCTCCGTGTGCGGGCAATTACAACAGAACCCAAGTTGCATAATTACACTGTAGACATAGGAGTGGATGGACAACATACCAACACTCCCGAGACATTTACGAAGAAAATGGAAACCAAGAATAATAGAAAGAGAAATTCTGAATAATTTAATCCTGCGCGGTTGGATTTGATTATTTGACCTTAGGGTTATTCCACAACGTCCAGAGATAGAGAGAGAGAAAGTCATATTAATCACAGCACCTATAATATAGAAACACAGGGGACAATAGAAATCTCCTGAAGGTCGCCAGAAGCTAATGACAGGCAAGTCTCCAAGATAATAACATAGCCTGAGGACACAAAGCGGGGTTATGGAGGGAACGTGGCTCTCTACTCGCTCAGAAGTCATGCAAAAATAGAAATCATCATGAAAAATGCTAACCTGAAAAATGTTTTTGATCGACATTTTAAATATTGATGGACAGATTTCACGATCGAACGGCGCAACGATTGATTTAAGATAAGATCGATATTCGGTCCAAATAGGACAAAAGTTATTATCCAGGACAGCCAGAAATTTTACTAAATTAATTCAATTAAAAAAGTATAAAATTCCATTTACTGAGAATCGTCGTTAAATCTTTTTATCAAAAGCAAATTACAGAGTGAATAAGAACTCTAAATGGACACTGACTAAACAATACAGAGTTGTCGATACCGAAGGTCGTAGTCACCACCTCAGAGATCACCGAGATTTTCTATAGCCACGGCCGCGAGAAGGAACTGACCTGAAGAAAGATTCATCGTACGACAGCGAGATGCGCAGCCGGCCATGCGGGTTGATCTCTTGTAGCGACCGCTTATGATGACGGCTGTGAGGTAAATGCACCCCTCTGATCACCTGCAATGAACAAGTGTTAAATAAGTGCCAGTTTGATAATTCAACACAGTGTTAATATTAACAATAATGCAGTGCCATTAGGCGAGACAGAAATTCTTCATAGTCTAGTGAAAGAAATAATATAGTGATCGAATAGTCTTAACTCTAAAGCATAGTAGAGTAATATAGTGACAATTAAGCCATACAAGAATAGAGGGATATTTCGAACGTGAAAAACGAGGAAATGCGGGACATCGCAACAATGCACTTTCTCGTAGTGTATATTTGACTTTATTCGAAGAAGAATATTAGCATTTATCCCTGGATGCGAGTGACGCTAAATTGAAATGTAAAATCCCAAGCAAATAAAGATAAGGATTTCTTAAAGGGATACGGTAAGTCGCAACCGGTGTGAAAAGTACAGAAAGTTCAGACATTTGATCCGTAGTTCATGCTGGTCAACGCTATGGGAACTTCAATTACTGCCGATGTTGTTATGTTATCACCAATTTAACGTGACATGACAACGCACAAACTGTCAAAATCATCGAAAATCAGTTTCACTTCATCAGTTCCAATGTAATGTAAACAGTCTGAATGTTTTGCAACATTTGAGCGGTTTTATTGCGCAATTACTTGATAACGTTGCATGTTTCGGTGCCATTATAGCACACAAATTACTTTAAGTAGCGCAGCTTTGTCCGCATATAATGTGAGTTGAAACTAACCATAGAAGCCACGAAGAAGACTCGGTTACAAAGATGGACGAAAGTAAAAGTCTTCATTGCGACGGCTTCTAAATTGTTTAGATAACTCGCTGGAACTTCGAACTTTCACAGGGACATTTTGATTTCAACATATAACTGCTAAAATTAGACAGAACTTAAACGAATAGAAATTGAATTTCCTTGTTGACACAAGTTTAAAAGTTGGTGAAGGCTGGCGCGGGTAAGAAAAGCTATCACTTATCTGTTTCAAGTAAAATTGCAACGAAATAAACACAATTCAGCAGAAAATTTCAGGGCATGCCAGTTAAACGAATACATAAATGAGAGAAAAAGAGCAAGACGTTAGCGAAAGTAGTAGTCAGCTGTTCACCGACTGGACGCAGATTTATTTCGCCGAGCTATATAAGTCAACAGCATCGCTAGAACAGTTGGCCAAGCCAGCGCCTTTCCCTCTCGATCTGTTCTGCCCTGGCCATCGCAATGGCAACGTCGAGCAACGCTTTCGCTGCAACAAAGACGGTGAAACGATTTCGGTTCAGGCGCGGGAAATCGCTTGGCTAAGGGGACCTGATTGACTAAACTCTAAAGCATTAAGAAAAAACTTTCTATTGATTCAAAGGTGATAGAAATTTACACAATCAAATGGCCGTTTTCGTTGGCTTAATAGATTATTTCTGCAGGAAAGGCGATATTTAGTTACAAAAGAGCAATGGTCGTGCGTTGCATGCAGCGGACGAGTCGAGGTGGCAGTGGCCAGTGAAAGCACAGGTGACCTTTAAACAGGTTCGGCGGGTCGGTTGCTGTATGCTAGGTGCTGCATTTACAGGAACTTATAGGGACTTGGCGCAGACAAAAGACATACTGACTTACAAAAGACGTACTGACTTCATAGACAACAAAAATAGATTTTTAATAATGCATAACTTGTCGACCAGCTCCTAAGACTCAAAAAGTTTTACTGATATAAGATAATTAAATATGTTCAATAAAGTGCCAATGATTGTTCAATGTTTCATATGATATGATAGTTCAAAGTTCATGAATAGTTCAATAAATTGCTTTAACGTTTTTTCTAGTTCGACAGCAATAGAAATTTTCAACACATGAACAAGCTAGTTTCTTCTCGATATTCCTCTTCAAGAAGAAGCCAGAAATTTAATAATAAAGTCACTTCGCGTTAAATACGAAACAATCACCTTCCGATGCAATATATTGGTGTAAAATTAGCTCTATGTTTTTGACTGCAGCACGACAGCAACACAGAAAATGCGGACGCAATTGTAATGAGAAGAAATTCGCGGACACTTTATAACCGTGACACAATTACCGACCTTCGATCCGAAATGTCACGGACAGGGCGACAAAATCTCGTCAGCCAAGTTAACAGGAATGAAATGAAGCAAATCGAATGATATTTCACGAATTAACAAGTTTACAATATGCAGTGATTTTCAAGCTCGAAATTCAGGTCGGATTTTCCCATAAAACTTGTTTTAAGATAAAAAATAGCTTTTTTTTAAGATGAAAAAAAAGATAAAAAAAATATTACTAGACAAGACATAAAGAAACGTAGACGAAATGTTAAATGGGAGTCGAAGAGAATTGCAATTTAGATAAGACATCAAGGGCTGCCATGATGCGAGAAAATTGACCTGTTGTCGAGCGCCGTCAAAATATAATGTGCCGCTGTATAGTTTTGCTTGATTTACGTCGCAACCTTCAGATGAATTCAAGCAGTCACTAGAAGCTGAGATATAAACTGCAACTATAATCATTTGGATAACCTAATTACAGACGTTCTGGCAAATGTCGCTCCATATAACTTCATTTTAACCCGCCAAGAAATCTCAGTGGAATTGTCAATAAAAAATATATTCTTACGCAGTGTTCAAATCCTTACAATCTGTAGAAATTGTAAGGATGTCCATATTCTTAGTAAATCCGTGGATTTGGACTTAACGAAATTAAGTGTATAATGATTAATGATTTAATTCAAATACCTGAATAAACATGAGTTAACTATTAGACAAGTTTTAAACTTCAAATTGAAATACGATGAAGTACCAGAAACATCATGCTTCTTATCCAAAATAAAAATCGAAAGTCATATTAAACCTCTGGCGTCGGTAACGCGATCACGAGCGACTAGACCTTCCTGGCTGTCAGGAATGCTGAGGAATGCCGTCAGTCGGGCGTTCTCTTCTCGAGCTCAGCCCTTGTAGGGAGAAGCTTGGTCTTACTCGTACGCCCGCTGCCTTTGACCGAACCTAATGGTTGTGATGCCGCGTGAGTGCAGGCTTACCAAGAAATAAATCACGTCTCAATTAAAGAACTGCGAAGGAGAAGAGAAAAATTTAATTCTACTTTAATTCGATACAAAGTTCTCAGCTTCAAACAACCTCTAGAAGAACTAGCTTCTAAAACAACGAATATTTTCAAAATGTGCTAAATCCACGAAAGCAGTGCATGACGCACCGGACAAAGGCAAATTCTAGCAGTCAAATCCAAGCTTATGGGAGATCACAAGATCTCTTAAGTACCGAACACAAAACAATTGAATGAGAATAGACATTTCCGTAAGATGTCTATAAGATTTCGTAAATTTTCGTAAGATGTCTATCAATAAAACAAAACTAACATTTGGAACGATTAAGAAATCAGGCATTTAGCTAATAAATGAGAATTTTTTCTAGAATATGGAGCATCTCTGACAAAAGGTCAACTCAACGAAGTAAGAAGCGCTAAACTAAAGCTTGTATTCTGCAGCGCACGATGCGAGATGAATCGCACGAGGTCATGCATTGCAGCTCGACGTTCTCTCCACAAGAGAAGCTCTCACTTCAAAACATCTCTCATGCAGAGATTAAACGAAGCAAGACAGACTTACAAGCACGAATTAATCAAAAGAAAGCTGTAGGGGGCTTCATCCAAAGGAGACGCAGATACATTTTCTACCGACAACTCAAGTTATAAAGTATAAATTAAAAGTATTGGTAAGATAGCCATGAGAAATTTAAGGCTTAGAATCTATTGAGGTTATTGTTGAGCAATAAGTTAGTATATTATTTGGAAAGTTATCAAGCTTACCTTATGTTTTAAATTTGACACAAGACATTTTGATTTTTGAGAATTATTTAATCCATCGAGAGCTGAATCAACTTTATTGAATTCATTCTATATCCGAGGCTATGAACATTATAATTGTTTCCTATTATTCTATTTAAATTCTTCACTTAATGTCACTCGAATATTCCCGGGTTATGCCATAAATTTGAATATTTTTTGATTGAATATGATTCTTGTCAGCTACATGAGCAAATTTTTCGACCCAATATTAACTTACATTTTTAACTTAAATTATTATTAACCTAAATTAAAATACTCTTTAGTATTTTAATATATGAGGCACATGAAAGAGGCACATGAAATAAAGAGAAATAAGTTGCTACAATTGACATATATGTGACTAAGGGTCCTGAAGAGCGCGCACAGACGGCATATGGCGAGGGAAAGCGATCGCAATGGCTTCCCTGCGCTTCACTGGCAATTCTTCGTGACGAGAAAAGAATCGTCAAATTGTCACATCATTGCAACTGCTGGTAATGATCGGTAAAGCTCGGGATGATGGGTGCCATTATATACACAAGAAAACAGTAAGAACAAAAAAAGAGAAATTTCGATTCCAAAAAATTGGGTCAAAATCTTTGGTCAAATTTCAATCGTAACTTTATTTTCTACCAGATACTTCCAATAGCAGTACATATTTTGAAAAATAATTCATTTTCGTCATAAGGAGCATCGAGATATTTAGATTGAATTGAGACCTAAGGGCCGCCGTATTGAAGGTTGTCGTGTCAATGAGGTAACCCAGTTGATAGATTATAAATTACAAGTCAACAAGAATTCGATTGAAGAGTTGTGTTGATACACATATTAAGGGAAATAAATGGTTCTGCCTAAAATTTGTGCGACGCATTAGCATTTATCGCTATGTTTTGAGTCATTATGGACTTTTAACTTGTACTGACAACCGATTAAAAAGACAATAAGGAAATTTCAAAGGAGGAGAAAACGCAATTGGGCAGACGTGTCTGTCACCCACATGGCGACATATGCGGCCGCAGATAGGGCACGAAAAAAGGGAGTACAGAAAGCTTCAATCTTGGCCGAGAGATCACTGCTATATTGTCCACACATAGAAAACATTGAAAGATTTCTCCTTAGAGCCAAAAGAAATTAGCAGAATTTATGGAACATTTATAAACACACAATATAACAAAGGATATTGGAGCT